TATATTTCTTCTGATTCCAAATATACCATATACAAATGTTGATATTTGGTTCAGCAGTTTTTACGATATCTAAGTTTTAAAATGCATTTACATTACCCTAAATTAGGTCGGTTCCCGGTTCCTTAAATCAATGGTCAGGCTTACTTAATGCAATTTTGTTATGGTGTATTTGGAATCAGAAGGAAAAGATCAATCATGCTAGCCAGCCAAAAATATAATAGAGATAATACCCTACAGCTTTTGTATTTAACTTATAAGGCTATTTTAAATACTGCTTGTCCTTATTGCACGTCCAATAACTCTCTATTATTTCCAAAACAGTTGAACTTGGGTATAGGGTATATGACATGAAATCTGCTCAGAATTTTACGTAGAATCCAAATATGCAATAACATACAGGGTGTCTCATTTAAAATCAGCAAGTTGTCTACTTCCGGTATAATCGGAAGTGCCACCATTTTGAAAATATTTTAGTCGGGTTGCCCCTACTGAAATTAGCACCTATACCACAGATTAACCCGTCCTAAAGGTAGGAAACTTCCATGTAAAATGTTCGTTCAGAGCTGTCTAAAAAATAACACGTATGAGAGTTTCATGACTGCCAAAGCTATGCGGCGCTAGTATAGCAAAGCCACAAGCAAATGTCATCTGTGAATGAATGTAGGTAATTTGTCATCACAATTTGTCATTATATTTTCCATTAGTCAGCCGTTTGATGTGTGTTAGTGTTCTTTATTTGATTTCTATCAATTTTTGGTAAAACTTTAACTTCTTAATACCTATGTTTTTAAGAAAAGAGACCTTACGTTACATGTAAGCATTGTGGAAATGGTTTTAGTGATGGTATTTATTTGCAATTTTTGACATTAACTTAAGGAGTCATTTGTGCACAAGACCTATCAACTATTTAGTGTTTTTTTTTTTCAATACGGTTTTCTGTTGTTGTGTTGAAGGCTGTTTTGTTAAAGAAGGAGATAGTACTGAAATGTTGTTTTATTTTCAAAAAATATAGGGTTTATTAACAAAATCAGATTGATTAGACAAATTATTTGACAAAAAGCGGGAACCACGTGACTACTGCCACAATACTGGACACACCGAAGTGCACACTAGCGCCACCATGCTGTGGCAGTCATACAACTCGCTGCATGAGTAAGACAAGGACAGGGAAAAAGGCCTGAGTTTCCTATCTTTAGGACGGGTTAATCTGTGACCTATACTGTCAAATTTTCAAAATTTTTCTGCATACAGTTTTTCATATATGGATCGATTTGGTTTCCGGTGGGACACCCTGTATATTTTTTGCTACTATTTGTATATCTTTATCTTGTCAAATGTAATCATCAAGACCTCTTCTGAGGAACTTCATTTTATACTTCACTTCAACATCTAACGTCTCTATGATCCGGCCAATATACCATGTATCATATGCAGCAGCATAGTATTCTTCATTTTTTAAAGACATTTCTTCACAAAATGTTTTTTCTTCTGCTCTCATTTCCCAATTCACTTTTTTCGGAATACAGCTTCGACCTTCAGAGGTTGCGGCATCTTCTATGCTTGGAGCCCTTGTTGACTGCAGTTTATTATTTTTGCTCTTTTAATAGGCTCTATTCTCGGCTCTATTCCTACTTGACGCTGTTTTGTTACTTTATTTGCAATCATATATGTAATCTTGTCATTACTGACTTTTTGAAAATTTGGAAGCGACACTTTACCTGTGTCACTTCCCTCTTCGATTTCCCTCACCCATTTCCCTATTCGACTTCCCCACCGATTTCCCTCACTCTAATTTATTTACCTTTGCTGGCAACAATGAGAACATGTCAGGTAAAAACGTCAAAGTAGTGAATGACACATTTTGGCATGTTTGTTTTATTTTTTCAATATTAAAAAAGTTGATTCACTAATCATAATTAATTGTGTGCTTGCAAATAAAATAGTATACAAACCTCGGAGGAAAGTTTTCATTTCTGTCTCGAGATTAATTAATTAATGGTAAACTTTCGACCCGTGGGCCGAAAGTAAATGAAATTGTTAATTATTGTATTTTTTAGTTTTAATCCAAATGAAAATTTCAAAATTCGAATGATTGTAAATAAAATAGTATACATACCTTGGTGAAAAGTTTCATTACTGTCTCGAGATTTCAGTTAGACCTCGGCTGCGCCTCGGTCTAACTTAAATTTCTCGACAGTAATGAAACACTTTCCACCTCGGTATGTAATATACTATTATTTATTTTTTTTGACAATTTTTCATACTTTTGCATCTGACATTTCCATCTGTTCATAACTCGGTTGATAACTTTCCGTTTTTACTTGCGTTTTTATTGGAAAATAGAGAACACGGTGTTGATTTTTTCACCAACAAATATTTGTCCCAGACTTTTATTTTTAGAAGGCTTTAGGGTCTAATGGTATGTGCTAATGTAATGCAGGGCTGGCCGCCAACACTGGAGCGAATAAAGAGTCTATTTTTCTTGACAGTAGGATACCGCAGTGAAAACTCACAGAAAACAACAGTTTAATCGCTAATAAATAACATAAAATAGCAAGAAATTTGCCTGTCAGTCTATCTTTGCCGACTGCGCTGACTTACTATAAACAAATAAACGCGCATGCGCGGTACGCGATTGTACCTTAAAACAAGTGATGGTGTACGCGATTGCCAATGCGATTGTCAGATTGCGACAGCGATTGTGGGGCAGCGAATGCGATTGTAGGATTGTTTTATAGCGATTGTGAGATTGCAAACCCGATTGTGGGACTGCGACTGAGATTGTCACGGAAATTTAAGTGATTGCAAGCGATTGTTGAGAATTTGTGACAGTATTGCGGCAAGATGTTACCCCCTCGGCGGGGTCCTTTGGGCATTGCCATCAAAAAACATTTGTCTTATTCTATGCATTTGTCTTTTCCACATCGTCCAACATGGCCCTCATTGTACTGTGAGTACCGTACCCCTCAAACTTGGGTAAGATACAACTCCACCATCTTGTCGGTAAATATAATTTTAATTTTTGTTTGTATTTACTTGGTACAAATAAATACGAATACTGACAAACTCTTGTATAAAAGCAGAGCCCGCGTTTTCGCAGCAGTTTAAAAATTCGATTTTCAAATCGTTCTATTTCCAAAAATAAGCGTTTTTTTTGTAAAAAAAAGTATACAAATGTCATTAGAATGATTCAAAAATGTGAAAGTGGCCTATTCCGAAACAAGGGCTGGCATGTCCTTTACTTAACGTTGAGTAAATGACATGGTGTTAAAATTTTATATTTCCAACGAAAGTTCAAACCCGTCGGTAGGGGTATTTGTCCTCTGTTAACTGAGCACGAAACGCGTGAAGGACTGGCAAGGGAATCTTGTTTACGGTCCATGATTTCACGTTGGTTAATACCTGGAAGAACTTTTCACAATTTTGCCATGCTAATGGAGCAGTAAGTATCATTCAATGCCGGTAGGGGTATACTCAAGCTTCTTTTCTTTGCTACATAAACCACACTAATCATGAGAGCTGAGAGATCAAAACGTGTGCGGAGGGAATAACGAAAACCAAAAATTTTGGTTTATTACCTACCTACTCTCTTTTTTTGTGCTGCTTGGGGTATGGGGTATGTCCGTGAAACTAGCATGGCAAACATAGAAAAGACAACAAATTTCTAGTAGAGTATCTGTTACTTCTTTTCTGATTGAAAGCGAAATTCGACTCATTTCTATAATCGCCACTAGTCATCAAAAAGATATTGCGGCGGGAAGACGGCGGCAGCGAGTGATCAGAAAAGTCGGGCCGAAATACAAAATCCACGTACCTACGTGAAACAAAACACAGTTGTTCCGATGGAGAGCTCCAATAAAAAGCATATTGAAGCAGCTGACACAACGTAATCTTGTGTAAATAATATTTCCGCCAATCGCCACTCAAATTTTTGTGGGAGTTTGAGGGTAAATCCTCGGGTAAATCTTTTTCCCCTGATAGAAACTACATTTTTACTAGTAAAAAACATTAATTGCAGCGTCCTACAGTTGACTGAATCGAATGACGGATGTCGCTTATCAATGTTGTGAATAATGGCTCCAATGATAGACGATAGATGGCGACGTTGGTGTGCGAATGAATGATGACAAATGGTTCGGACTGTGACTACAGTCACTAAATATTCTTAAAATAAACCTTTACAAACAGTAGCGACAATAGAGATCCCGCCGCCGCCCGCCATTTCGTGGCCTACCTCTTGCTAATTTTAAATATGATTATACAGAATTTAAATGGACATCCATCAAAAAAAATGAAAACGACGTATTTGATGGCTATTATTAGATACCTACATCAAATACGTTGTTTTCAATTTTTTATGATGGATGTCCATTTAAATCCTGTATTATCATATTTAAAAGTAGCAAGATGTAGGCCACAAAAATGACGGCGTTTTCCATATGAATATATAGGAATTAAAGAACCAATCAAAAATAAGACGGCCATTGTCGCCACTGTGGTTTAATAGAGTCACTATAGTTCCGACTAAACAACGTATTCAATGTACCATCGTCAAAAAAGTATCTGTCTGGGACAAAAAAAAATCATAATAATCTCCTGGACTAATTCTACCATCATTCATTTAACTCATAGTTTGACAAATATTTGGCACGAAAAATCATATAATAGTACAAGAGCCAATATGATGCTGTCCCAGTTACTTTTGGTGACAGTGGCACCTAATAATAGTTATCAAATACGTTGTATTCAATATTTTATGATAGGTGTCCATTTAAATCCTATATTATTCATATTTAAAATTAGCAAGAGGTAAGCCACAAAATGGCGGCGGGACCTCTATTGTCGTCACTGTTTATAAAGGTTTAAGTCACCGTAGTTTGAACCATGAACGATGAGTAGCGTGCGGATGAGTGGTATCAGGTTGACGGATTGAAAGGTGACAGATGACAGTCGTGTCCATCCAGAATATTCCAGAATCTAAGGATTAAGAACCAACAAACTAATTCTACTTGCCTTTTATTTATCAATAACAATTTTCACAAAACAAATCATCACAAAATACTAGCAAAATATTACCAAATGTGGGAAAAAAAATAGAAATAGATAAATCTACAAACAGTATTACAATACTAGATAATAATATCCACATGTAAACAAAAGGATGCAATAGGATGGATGTTTCCCCAACTTACAATTTTCCATCATTTTTGAAGAAAAAAATCGTTATTTTTTTCACAGCCTCATTAAATTTATTCTAAAATAATACTTAGGTATATTCACCTACAAAAATATCACTGAACTATTTTCAATACTTCTTAATGCTGTTTTTTTTTTTGTGGTTACAACTGGTCTAATTTTAATAAACAAAGTAGAGGTATTTGAAAAGACGCAAAACCTATAGGTATAAAAACTTTTAGTGTCAGACCGGCCTCATACAGCCGGAATGTCTTTCTGAAGTCAGAAACAGAATTCAAAATTTGAATTCCGGCACATTGCCGCACACATAATAATATCTTGAAAATTCCGGATATACTGGTTTCACCCTATTAATTTAAACAGAATAAGAGAGAGCCAGTACCACATTACTTCAATTACGGCAGTATGCTGATTGATTTTTGATTACTACCGTCATTTAATGTATCCCAATTTGGAATTAAAATAGTATTTATCTGCAGCCAAGCTAAGTCTTTGTTTTCCCTGTCATGGTACTCCTCCAAGGAAGAGTCCCATATACAAGGACGACTCTCTACGCATAAAATAAGATTTTCTGTATCACACAGACACATCGCAACAACAGGTCTCATAGTCTTCCATGCACCATCTCTACTGAATTATACAATCAATCAGAATCTGAATTCCAGTTATGTGAGCTTGTATATTTGAATTACCCAAAAAAACATGCGTTATGAATTCATAATCCTAATTTTTCAGAACCGGAATTCAGAACGCTCATCAGTCACTCTGGCAGATGGATCTGAAAAATTCATAATCTGAAAAAATCAAAATGTGTGTGCTGTATAATAAAAAAATGAACAATGCCTTAGGTTCTGAATTCAGATTAGGAATTCCGTTTCTGAATTCAGAAAGACATTCCGGCTGTGTGAGGCCGGCCCGACGAGCGTTATGAATTCCGAATCGGAAAAATTAAGATTATAATTCATAACGCATGTTTTTCGATATGTGTCAAATATACAAGCTCACACAGACGGAATTCAAATTCTGATTCTTCCCTTCCAATCAACACCGCTCAAAAGATGCCGCAAACTATGAGAATACTGGTCACGGAATTTTAAAGATATGTGTGCGGCAATGTGCCGGAATTCAGATCCTGAATTTTGTTCCTGAATTCAGAAAGACATTCCGGCTGTGTGAGGCCAGCCTTAATACCTACATAATACTTTTAAAAAAAAACTTATTTGGATCCAATACGATTGATGATTCCAACTAATATTTTGCTTTGAAGACAAAAATCTTTATTCAATTATACTTTTCACAGCCTTATTAAATATTAAATTACATTATTAATTTAAATATGTTCATACATAGTTTGATTTATCTTTTATCCCTGAAAAATTATAAAAGCGATCACATAACAGAACCCAATCAAATCGATGTTCTTGCTTGTTATAAATAACCCAATGAGAATCATTAAAAGAAGCACAAGCAAGGGTACGGAATAAAAAAGTACAGAAAAAAAAACGAGTCATGAGAAAGAAACTGTGCACATAATTAATACTTATCTGGGAGGTAGAAGAAACACAGAAAGTTGGAAATTACTGAAAAACATGAGGAAAACAAAAACCAAGGATATTATCGATACAATTACACCCCAGCAATGAGAAGAGTACTTTGAAGAATTACTGACAGAGAACAACGGGCAGAGTTTAAAGAAGAAAAAAAACAGACGCAAAACATAAAAACTACAGGATTACCAATAAGAGCTATGAAAGAAGGCCAGGCCCAGGAGAAATATATGGAGAAGTGATAAAGTATAGGACTAATAAACTCTACAAACATTTAACAAAACTATTCCAAAGATGCATAGACAAACATGAAGTAGCGGAAGAGTGGAAAATAAGTTATTCAACAATGATATAAGATAAGGAAGGAGACAGAAATAAATGCGAGAACCACCGAGGAGTTGCAGTAACAAATATGTTGAGCGGAGTGTATGGATAAGTTATAAAAGCCAAAATGGAGAACGAGTACAATCAATTTTTAAAATATACTTAGAAAAAGCACTTAAGGGGTGGAAAAACAAATGCAGACATACCGCCCAATGAATACAATCTATACAGGGTGTCCCAAAAAGATACCGACAAACTTCAAGGGGTAGTAGGGGACATTAAAACAAGCATTTTTGTTTATATAAACATATGGCCGCAAATGAGTCATTTGGGCTGTAGATCCAAAAAACTATTTGGTACTTTTATTCTTCGGAATAATTAAATCACTGTTTACTCATTAATTTTGCTTTATTGACAAATGATTAATTGTTCAAAATGTTGACCATCTACTTCAATTTAAAGATTGCACCGTCGGGTCATTGGAATATTCCAGAAATAGCTTCTACAAGGGTACAACTCGCCAGTATCCTTGCTAACAGATCTTCCTCATTACGAACAGGTGTTTCGTAGACTAAACTTTTCAGTCAATGACCCGACGGTGCAATCTTTGCATTGAAGTAAATGGTCAACATTTTGAACAATTATTGTAAACCATAATTTATTGGTTAATAAAGCAAAATTAATAAGTAAACAGTGAGTTGCGGAGAATAAAAGTACCAAACAGTTTTTTTGCTCTATAGCCCAAATGACTCACTTGCGGACATATGTTTATATAAACAAAATTGCTTGTTTTGATGTCCCCTACTACCCCTTAAAGTTTGTCGGTATCTTTTTGGGACACCCTGTATATACTCATACAATCTGTATATACTCTAAGCTTTGCTTGCTTTGGATGACCAAGTATCAATTGCACAGGATTATGATGACTTAAGAGTACATGACGCGTAAATTGATAGAGGAATACGAGAAATCGGGTATGGAAGTACATCTAACTAAACCAGAACTGTAGGAGGTGAACAATGAAGTCTGAAATTGTATAACGGACAAGAAATAAAACAATGTACTGAATACAAAAACTTGGGAATAGAAATCTCGCATGAGGGAACTCTAGACGAAGCAATTAAAGATCGGAATATTTAAGGACGCAAGGCAATATCCCTACTAAATGGAGTACTGTGAGACCAAAATATCAACAAAACTAACAAAACTAGAAAATACAACACCATAGTCGAAAGCATAGTCACATATAGTTCAGAGGTCTGGCCAATGAAGAATAGAATCGCAAAAATGCTGGAAGCTACTGAAATGGAATTTTGGAGGAGAGCAGCAGACAGGTCAAAAATAGAAAGAATAACAAATCTGGGAATTAGAGAGATTATGGACCTAAAACACACAATAGTAGATAACATAAAGGATAAGGAAGAAACGAGAGACAGAGGCTTAGAGGAGGATGCCTGGATTAACAAAGATGGTTGGAGATCGGGAATCGGAAGACGTAGAACGTTATAAACCGATAATTATTACATATATATAATCATTAAAAATTTAGGAAAAAACTAGTGAAAATATGCATTATTGTAATCACATAATATTGTATATCAAAATGTCATTTCAATTAAAAATTAAACAAATCTGTCAGACAGAGAGGCATAAAAAAAATCATCATTGGTCAAATTATTGTAGATCTGGGCAGTACTTGAGTAAATTGTACTCATATCAGTAGTCAAGTACTCAAAGTACCTAGTATCAGATAAGATATATTTGTTTTCTTGATCGATATTCAAACTTTTAGAGTTTTTCAAATCAACAAATACCCTAGGAGAGTTTTTATAAACTAAGTAACTTAAACTACCCAAAATAATTTTGCTCTCAAAAGAAGAGCCTCGATTTCTACTTATAGCTAAGAAAACGAACAAAACATAAATATAAAATTTTATACCCAGCTAACCACACACCAGTATGTCATCAGAAGGACGTCTGATTAAGAACAGTTTTGTATGTCTTATGTCCAAAATACGTTTTTGTAGCGACAACATGTTTTGGACGGATGTCGTTACACTAAAGACGTCTGAACGACGACTTTCTAACGGCCTAATTATGTCATATCAGTTTTTAAATACCGAAGTAGCACATACATGACCCTCCGACTACATCTCAACCAATGATCTTTCGTTAAAATATCGTTATGGTCCCGTCTTGAATATTTGGCTATTACTAGATTAATAATTCATACCCTTTAATGTCCTTCATATTATTTATTGATGTCCATATCTATTCTGTGTTTATTTAACACAGGATTCTCACAAGGAGAAATTACTATTTATTGAGAGATTTATGAATTCTCTCCTCCTACTCCAAAACCAAAGTTTCTTTATGAAATTGTTGTGAGAATATGAATTGTTCATCTACTTATACACCTACAATAATTTCATGTGCCTTGTATAAAATATGATTGGTTAAATTTTCCAAAACCCACCTTTTTATATTGTCAGTGTTATTCTCAATAACTATATCAAAGGTATTCCAAATACGACATGGACAAATTTATGACGTAATCTTACCTCATTTTTACTATTGCATACAACGTGCTTTAGACGCAACTGGTTATCTAGTTACCTGGGTACAAATGTGTAAAATTCTATTTCAGGTTGGTACGAGACAGTCTTGCAGATCCAATTTTTTTAAGATTTTTCAATGCACATTTAGCAGCTGTGCATTTAGCGATTCGATAATTTCGACCTATCCCTTTGAACGTACCCTTACCAAATACTTCCACAGTCACCCTTACTCTTCTACCATCAGCTAATTTTTCCGGTCTTCCGAATTTCGCAGTTTCAGGTTCCAATTCCAAGAGTTCCCGAATCGGAGATTTTGGAACTCGGTTTGAAAATTGTTCGATTTCTGCTTTCATCATGTTATAGTAAACTTCCCATACGCAGTCCAACGACATGCCGGAATCTAGAAAAATTGCTCCGGCCACTGATTCGAATACATCACCGAGTGCTTTGGGAACCTCAACATCCTCAACCTAGAAAACAGTAATATTTTTTAATCAAAAATCTGTAGGGCGCATGCATAATCTCTTACCTCTTCACATTCACTTTCAACAACCAAATAAAGCTCGTCCAAAATCGAATGTCCACTTTCTTCTTGCAATCTAATAAATCTCTCAATCACTTCATTCAGTCCAGGAGATGAATGTCTGAAGTACTTATGAAAACCGTTTCGTACTGCCAATGACGCGAAAATAGTATTATTAACCAACGCTGACCGTAAATCAGTTAATGCCCCGGGTGAATGCATTCTAGGATCCTCATATAAGTGTCTAGTAATAAGGTAATCTAATACAGCATCCCCAAGGAATTCTAGTCGTTGATAACAATCAGTAAGTTGGTTTGGAATGTAGGACGCATGGGTCATTGATTGGAGTAAGTATGATCGGTCTCGGAATTTGTAGCATATGCGTTTTTCAAACACATCAAACCCATCAAGAAGTTTGATAAGCTCGTCTTCTGCATTTGAGACGTGTCTCAGAAGAGGTGATTTTGGAATGTCCACCTGAACAATACAGTGTTTTATCTTAAAAATTCTGCCTTTACAAAATCGAAAAAAGTGAATAATGTGAAAAAAAATAAAAAAATAAATGTATCTTATAAAAAACAATAAATCAAGAAATAATGAAGTTTGAGAAAAAGACCGCGAGCTTACTATTAAGTTTGGTCCAGAATTGATTACACAAAACCTATCAATTCAGGTATCATCCTATAACTCAACCTAAGAGTGCTGAGAAAATTTTCAAAAGCAATAATTGAAATACAACTGAAAAAGTCGATAGCTATAATAATACTACCCAAAACATCAGCAAAATATCTAGAACTATAAACTCAATTTCAATGAATAAACATCAAGCACAAAAAAGACAACCATCGCCAGAGACCAAACACATTTATGACCGTTTCCACCAACAATTTTAGGGACGCCTCAATGAAAATATTTCTTAAAATGACAGTCTTCCATGGAGAAATGTCAATTTAAGGAATACTTATCGTTAAGGCTTCCCTAAAATACTTGGTGGAAACGGCCATTAGAAGCCTAAAGTCATTAATTTGAATATTCCCTCAAACATAGAAATACTAATTATTCTTACCTCTCCATAAGATCCATCATCATTCTTTGGTAAAACTCGGATACCAAGCCAAGCCATAAAAAGTAAGGCTCCTCTAGGTCCGCATTCAATGAGGTAGGCTCCTATTAGAGCTTCAACACAATCGGCTATACTTTTATCTGGAATGCTATGTTGTGTAACTAAATTATAAGGAATGATGGTGGGCATGGTATTTACACTTCTTTCTTTGACCATTGAACAAATAGCTTCGATAGTCATATTTCTTGTGGCAGCCATATCAGCTACAGTCCAGCAATTAGCTGGAAATTGAGCATCGATTAGTGCATCTTCGAGTTGTTTTGGTACATAAAAGCATGGAGGCAACCAATTATCATGTGGGTCAAATTTTGTTGCAATCATATATTCTCCCAGACCCCTGCATTTTCCTAATTTATACAAGTTCAAGTTACTAACTTGTTTGGATCTTAAATGACTCAATTTTCCTTCATGGACATGCTCATATTTTGAGTATAAATAGTTTGTGATTGCATATTTCAAAAACGAGTCCCCAATAGTTTCTAGTCTTTCAAGATTGATGCCGTCATTTGCGTTTGACATAGTTAGGGCTTGAAGAAGTAGGTTTGGGCTTGGACCAGGATGAGTACTGAGATTTGGTTGAAAATCAAAACTGAAATTCAATTTATCCGAAAATTCATATTCATTACGAAATGGCGTTGACGGGATTTCTGCAATCCGTTCCAAAGTAACATTACCAATGTATAACTTGCTGGTGTCAAAATGTTCAAGATCTTTTATTGGAATACTGATTTCATTCGAAGTTTTATTAGAATCTTTATAAAATTCTTCGTTATTTTTTATTAAAATCCCACTAGACAAAATATGGTCTCTATTTTTAGCACATGCTTCTCTGAAACTAGCTCTCAATTCTTCCGTTTCTGAGCTATTATCAACTATTTGCCAAGCATGAGAATCTTCCACAAGCTTGAAGGATTCTTCTGAAACAATATCATCATCCACAGCTTCAGCTTGGTGATCACCAGTGAATTCTATTCTGAGACCTCCCCATTCATTTTCTGAATCCTCAGTTTCAGAAATCGAATTATAGTCCGACCCATAAGAGCAATCGTCCTGCCAGGCATTCGGTGAACCATATCTCACCAAAGATTCACATTCACCTCCAGCCATATCGTTCGACCATGTTCCTATTTCTAGTCCCCAATTATTTATTTCATTTTCATTATCGGAACATGCATCATTGCATGCCGCCACAGCGGATTTTATTTCTGTTAATTTAAGTGATTCATTTAAAATTTTCAATTCTTCTTGTTTTCGCTTTTCTTCTTCTTTAGATTTCTTTAATACGTCGGATAAATTCCATCCAAAATTTAAAGGTGGCCATTTAAAATCTAGAAATAATTTTTTTAGCATAAAAAAACTTTCTCAATAATAATTATTGTTCATCTTCAGCAGAAAAATAATATAAAATGTTCAATATGTATATTGTAAGTTTGGATGCTGAAGCAAAAAGACAAGGAAATTGAAGGATAATAAACAAGACATACCCTACATTATGCTTTCAACATAGTTCTTGGATGGGGAAATTTGAATTTTGAGAAATTTGTTTTTACTATAAAATAATGTGTACCTACATATCTTGAATAAAATTAATTACACGGGGATTTTGAAAACAGCAAAGAAACAGGTGACTCAAATTAGGAAATTATATGAATTAATCTACAACAAACTCTTTTTCCAAAGTTATGACGGCATTGATGACGTGGGTGCAGGCCCTCGTGAGACGAACTACATATATACAGTTTTTGTTACAAGAAGTTATAAAAATGTATATAAGATTTTTTTTAGTACTAAGATGGATTTTATTGTTGTTGATTTTTTTGTTAAGTTTGAACATATTGAGATTTTTTTTTGTTTTTTATATTGGTTTATGATAGGGAGGTATTACAGACTTTCAATTTTGATATGTAGACATATAGCTTGTACTCATAATGAAAACTTTAATTTTTGTAATGGTGGTTTCCCGTTAAATAAATAAATAAAAATTTGAGCATAGGTATGACAAAATCTGGACTTGAATTTTAAAAAACCCCGATTTATTCTGGATACACTTGGGAGCACAAAATTTTGTAGTTGTGTTTCTGGGCGTATTTGAAATTATATTTTAAAATAAGTTCACTTTATTATGGCAACTTGACCCGCTCTGTCCGATGGTGCAGTTAAATTTGAAACCCGACATTTCGTATTCTACCAACCATCCATAATTTTTTCAAATAACGAACCCCAATTTTTTTGTTTCCATTTCACCTCTTCAAACTAGCAATAAATCACAGGGATCAAAAAAACGTCTAAAAATCCAAGTGTAAACAAATAGTGTCAGCAGGATGATTTTAAAGAACGAACGAAACGTCAAATTTGAAATTCGATATCGCCATGTTGTAGGGTAGGGGATAAAAACCTATATTTTTATAGTCTGTTGGATTTTAGTGGCATGCAGACATTTTAATTAAAATTGATGAAACATCTTCTTCATGAATTTTAAGTTGTTAGTTGTGAAGACCAACGGCAACCTTCGGCGATTACCGTTGGTATGGAAGTGAGTTAGAAGGTATAAGGGGAGCACATTCGCAATTAATGGCTGTTTGGAATCCATTATCCCTTCAACCACGGATGCGTAGTCGACACATAGCGACATCAGCAGGCATCGGGATGGGACGCCCAACCATCAATATCAAGCCAATAATTTTACAATTTTTACAAGTTTTATCGTCTGTGATATAATTTACAGTGTGTTGAATTTTAGTGGAGTGGCATGCAGACGTTTTGTTTAGAATTGATGAAAAATTTTCTTGCCTCGACTAGGACCCAGGACCCTCGCATATCCAGTGCACGCTCTACCAACTGAGCTACCGAGACCCGTTTCATTTCTACTACCAAGTCTTCCATCAATTTCAAGTTGTTAGTTGTTAGCTCGGTTGTTAGTTAAGTTGTCACCAAAATCCAACACACCGTAAATTATATCAGAGACGATAAAACTTCTAAAAATTTTATAGTTTTATGTTTCACCGTTTCCAAAATCCCCATTTTCCTATGAGCTGTTTTTTTGGTACGCCCTGTATCTATATTATATAAACTTACCTTCTTCTAGCTCTAACCTTCCCAGACCGAGGTCAATGGCCACAGTTCTTCTTATCTGGTCACCAAGTAATAAAGCGTTTATCCGATAAAGAATACATGGCAAAGCTACAGCTTTTCTCCAAAGAGATGCTGGAAAAGGATGAATTGCACAAAGTTCTGGAACCAAAATTTGCTTTTGTTCAAGATTTTCCCTTTTGGCTTTTTTAGTCTCTTCGCTGCTTGTCGGCAAAGCAACCCCCTTCCGATTCACATATCGAGGAGTTAGGAAATTGAGTCTGGCAGATGTATGGTCTACATCTAACAAATATTGTTGCTTATTTTGAATTTGAATGCCATATTTTCGAAAATAATAGTCTTCGAATGACTTATATTCTGACCCTGGAAATGCTGATTTTGGATTTAAGAAGGAACAAATTTCCGCTACATAAAAATACTGAGGTTGATCCTGATTTCTGTACCAAGGCATTACAACAGCGTCCCTGTATTCTTCAGTGTTAAATTTATAATCTGTCCGATCCTTGTCCTCAATATGTTTAGGAATAAAATTTAAACTCTGGTAAATTATATCTATGAAATTCCAATCAACTTCTATACCATTTTGTGCTAAAATTATAAAAATCATTACAAATAAATTGGGCCACTTGTGTGGTACTTACTGTCAATTGTTGGCACAATCAGATAATTTTTCAAAGAGCAACCTGGTTCAAATAACATCAAATATTTTTGAAGCCTCAATACACTTGTAAATGTATAATTTACAAATTCTTGAATTTTATGTGTTTGTTCTTTATCTATTACAACTTCTTTAGAACAAAGAGTTAACTCTACACTAACTTCACCTGAGCGAGTGAATATTGGAAAAGCACTAATCTAAAATAAAAATAAAGCATCCATATCCTCTCGCTGACGTATAGATACTTGATCAGAGAATAACCCAACTATAGGGAAGCGACAATAGGATTTTCGCCCCAAATAGTTTGGGTGGGGAGAATGGTGGCTAACTGTCGACTGCTTAGTACGATACCAAAAATCCCACATCACACATTCATCACAACTACAAAATATGTTTTTCCCGTGTATAATGATTTTTAAACTGTACTCCCAGTGTAGAATAGAGGCTAAGTATTTATTTTCGAAAATGCAAGATCATGAATTTATGTTCCCAAACATCAAAGGAGCCAACGCCTTTTGTCGCTTCTCTATAGTTTGGTTATTCTCTGACTTGATTTAAGATGCACTGGCAAAAAATAACAATAAACAACAATAGGTATACATGGAAAACATTACCAAGGGTTGTTTACTGAATTTTTGGAGGAAATAATTTTCTATCTTCTCTTTTTTGTGCCAATTATTGGATGGTGTCCCGCCAGTGCATCATTGCTCATTTAGGTGTGAATAAAATTAAAATAGAGCAATGGAAATCATACCTTGGGAATTTCTCTGCTTGTTAAAATTCCAAATCCCTGAACAGATTCCTCGGGAGGATAAATTCTCCTACCGCGAGTGTTTTGTTCTTCTGGTAAAGGACAAGTTAATGTCATCACAATTTTATAAAAATAGGAAGGTTCGCCAATTTTAGGGTGACAATTCAGTAAAGGATCTGCTATCTTTTTGTAGTAGTATTGCCTTCTTTTTGTTGTTCCTATGCACATACAAAAAATACAATATTTGAATACTTCTGCAGTATGAATTTGTGGCTAAACATCTACTGGCGGAAATATAGATCAAGAAAAACTCTTTAGATGTATGGAAGATTTGGAGCTCATTAATAATAAGGATTTACTAAAAATATCTCAATTAGCAAGGGAAATAAAATTATGCAAGTACTTAGTTGGTTTTATTTATCATAACATCTTTCATAAATATTATGACGAATTCCAATCAAGTGATATCCTTTCAGTTTATTGTACAAAAAGTGCTACGTTTTTCCAAAATAATCTCTAATATATTATTGATATTATCGTTATTATCCAAAAAATAATAACGAAAGTACCTATAAATCACAGGCTCCGCTCCGTCCTTTAAAAACCTTTTTGTTTTTTTTTTCAAATTTGAAAAATGTACAGGGTATTTGATTATATTTGGCACTATACCTACAGCCTTTACTATTTAAGATAAAAAAAAATTTAATTACAAAACTTGACAGTTTTTTTTTTTATATTTTCTTTTGACAGTATCAGAAAAAACAAAATCGCATCGGAAAATGGAGAAACGTAGGCAACTTCTACTTTTTTCAATGGAACACCCTGTATATTATGCGATAAAATTAAAGATATTTTCTTCCTGATTCCAAATATATATATACTGATCATATTTGAGTGAGTCGTTTTTGATATATCTTAGTTTAAATTTTGAATAAAATCCAAAGGAATTTTATGAAGATTTATTGTTCCTCGATTTTTAACTGACACTTTCCGTATGAGGAGCGAGGGGGTGTTTCATACGGCAAAAACAGGTGTGATGTCAGGTAACCATTGGCGTTCTAATGTAGGGAGCCACCAGCTCACATTCCGTCCGAGTATCAGATTAAAATCGATGGACAATAAATGTCTTGACATCCTTATGAAATTTCTTTACAAATTTAAGCTAAAATATTTCAAAAACGGCTCACTCAAATGTGTTCAATAAACTTCAATATATATCTATTTGGAATCAGGAAGAAAAGATCTTTAATTTTATCGCATAATATACAGGGTGTTCCATTGAAAAAAGTTGAAGTTGCCTACGTTTCTCCATTTTCCGATGCGATTTTGTTTTTTCTGATACTGTCAAAAGAAAATATAGGAAAAAACTGTCAAGTTTTGTATTTAAATTTTTTTTCTATCTTAAATAGTAAAGGCTGTAGGTATGGTGCCAAATATAATCAAATACCCTGTACGATATTGACACAAAATGTCCGAAAACTGGTGAATTATATATCTTGAAATTAGAAATTAATGTATAATGAACGTACAGGGTGATCCAGTATAAAGTGAACACCACCTACCTTTGAGCTAGAAAATGTATTTTTGAGAAAATCAAGATATCCATCTGGTGTATTTTGTTTCTATGGATTTGGAAACGTTTTTCGAAATCCAATTAGATTTTTCGTTAAAGCGCTGTGACGAAAAAAAGTATTTTTTTTAAATGGAATAACCTATATTTAAATCTATTTTTCAAAGGCCCCTATTTTCCTCTTTTCAAATATATATACCTCGATATATGTATACTTAGTCTGTTTATCTTTATTTTAGTAATTTGCGATATATTTCATTTTAAAATTTAAATAAGAATATCCGAAAAGGTATTACGCCGTGAACGTTTAGTTTTTTGATTGAGATACGGGAATTATTAGCACTTACCTGGTCTAACTTCTGAATTTTCATCAAATTGTTCGTCCAAAGTAATTGTATTCCAATCTTCATCTAAGGGAACAAAATTTTCTTTGCTTATAGGTAGGAGCTGATTATCCAGCTCTCCTACTTTATGTAAGTGTTGGCATAGCAGAAAAGCAGCAGCTCTTCTTGAAAGTAGAGCATTTGGCATTGGAGAACTTGTAATTGTTTGTTTTACTGGACTATTGATTGGTAATCGAATATGGCAAATCCATCCTTCTGATAATTTTTCTTCATGCCAAATAGGTGTCAACCTATATTTAGGTACATAGTTATTTATGTATATAGAGATAATGATAATATTTTGGACAACATCACAATTGCAAACTTGAAGTTAATAGAAATTCTCAATTACCTGGTAAAACTGTCGCTGGGAAGTTTAGCACAATATCGATTTATTAACGCAATAGAATTGAATAATGTTACACTTGGAGAACCTTCATCTCCCAAAGGGTGATAAGGTTCGCAGCAGGATGAATAATTATCAGCTAAGAGCTCTTCCGCCTTATCTGGCTCCAAGCTTTGGCATCTTTGTAAAAGCGTATTTTCAATCTAAGCAAAAAAAATTCAATATAACATTAAATAATATTAGATATTAATATAGGAAAAATGAAACATACTTCATTATACTCAGCCAAATTATCAACAAATGTGTCAACATCCATCTCATTGGAGAAAAGTATAAAATGGGCTTCTGCAGCTCTAGCCCGGGCTTTGCTATGGATATAACTATGGAATGTTTGGGGTAGATCAAATCTGATTACCAAATTGCACTTTGGAAGATCACAGCCTTGTTCCAAAATACTAGTGGATACTAAAATATTACATTCATGGCACCTGAATTTTCTTAAGACTTCTTCTTGGATTTTATGTTCCTGTTCTGCTTCTCTAGGCTCTCTAGAAATATCAGCTACTTTATCCACAGCGAAAAGTGCTGATATCCACCAAAAATCATCATCTGCTTGAGATAGACTCTAAAATAATTTGTAAGCATAAGCTTTTCTAGAAAATGGTTTTTATCTTTGGACTGAATTCAGTAGCATTGTTTGAATGGTATTCTTTTGTTTGTGTGTATTGAAACCGAATGCCAAAAAAAGCTTTTGATTTTCTTTGCTAATGCAAATTAATTCGTCACTGAACTTGGATCTTATATTACTGCAATTTTACAGAATACTTACACAAAGTAGCCCGAAGATGGCTTTAGCCTTATACCTATTATTGACAAATATCAGGGCACACAAGTCAGCCATTTGTACCTTCTGAAATTGCCTCTTAGGTTTTCCTTTGCCCCTTTTGAAATTTCCTGGGAAATTTTCAGGTAAGTTTTCTTCTTCAATAATTTTTGGTTTTTCACCAGCTGGCTTAAATTGTCGAAGCACATGAATCATTTTCAGAACTTTAGACGTAGAGTAGTTATTTATTTTACTTATCTCTGTATCATAATGTTTAAATGTATCATCGCAAATTCCCCTAGTTTGTGTTATATTTGTGAATGCTGTGCATAATAATAGAAAATGCCTTTCATAAGGGGTTTTTATCTAAAAAAAAGGTTAATTTTATAAAAACTGTAATAGATTTAAGAAAACAGAGCAAATGAACATGTGTTTATGCTATTATTAATTTTGTCAAAATGCCCTGTTCCTGAATATTCCAAGTAGAAAATTTCAAAATGATAAGGCATGTTTTATTAAAAAACATAAAATAACATTAAAACCGTTGGCCCATTGATAAAATAATTGTAGTTATTTTGCCTTTATGTCTTGCTTGATAATAGGATCAAAATTTATTAAATGTTTGAGGTCAATTAAAAAAAGGAAGCTTATAAACTTTGACACAAGCAATATACTTAAATAGAATTTTTAAGTTCGAAGTGAATCTCATCTAAGAAATTAGGTATATCTTTTTTGGTCATGATGATGATTGAAAAAAATTAACTTGTTTTTGCTAATTTTTGAAAAAAACATTTCTGATGGTTTTCTCAATTATTTTTGGCAGAGACTGATCACAAATTCAAACTCCGCAAACAAATGATTTTAGTTGTTTTACAATTTTTTTATAGCTTCTAATATTTTTGACATATTCTGGAAGTTCATTATATCTGTTGGAGGCCTAATAAATAGGATTATATAAGCCCTTGTTACTTTTAATGATACTATAAATATATATACAGTTCTGTATCCTGGTGTTGTGTGAATGAACATACATCAAAAATAATTTAACCACAGGGAATTTTATTAACAAGCATATTATAATTTCTAGGTCTAACACTTACTTTTAACTTTTCTATTTTTGAAAGAATATTTATGGCAGCTGTATTAGCACCCCAAGGCCCTAAATCATCCAAAATATCAAGATAAATATTTAGAAGTTCTATGGGAGCATCTCTAGGGTCAGGAATATCTTTGAACTCATCCAGAAATTCCTCGTCATATATTTCACCAGGATCAAACCTGTTTTCATGTATAAATGATTTACAGGATTCAATTAAGTGTATCAAATTTTCTTGTAAAGTGCTGGGTATTACTTTTGGACAGCTTATCAAGTATTCTTTAGGATGGCATGAAAGGCGAATTAATGTAATTATTTCACTGGAAGTGTCAACCTGAGAGTTCAAAAGTTTTTCTAGACGTCTAAGCTCTGCTTCTAATCTGTCAGATTGCAAATTAGTGCCTAATAATCCTGTTGTCAAACCTAGTATCCTAGGCTTATTTTCATCAGCAAGAGTTTTATGTAAACTGATGATTTTTTGAATTTTATTTTGTTTGTTGCCATAAAGACAATCATCAATAACAAGTAAATTATACTTTTCAAGGTTCAACAATGGGGTTTGGCCAGTACATATTTCTGCTGTGGTAACAATAACCTGATTGTCTTCAAAGAGCTTCTCAGTGTATTGACTCTCATCATCTAAACAAAGCACTTTTAAATCTGTGAGGTACTCTACATGAGAAGCTAACACAGGAACATTTTGTAGGTCCAAAATAAGCAAAGCCTTCTTGAAGGGCGGAGAACGCATTTGCCATGAAAACTCCTGCAAAAGTTTCACCACAATAAAAGCCTTAGATGAACTTGTACTGGAACACATAATAGTATTTCTTCTTTTGGCGGATTCCAGCAATTCCACTTGATATTCTCGGGGTGTAAAAGTGTGCGTATAAACATTTTCGTTTAAATAAAATGCCATTTTTCGGTTTTCCAAAGTTTGATGTTTGAGGTTATGTCTCACGGCGAATCGATAAGAGATTATAATCCTTGTGCTGAAATGTTAAACAAAATGTAACTTTTTAATATGTTTTCAGTTTTGGGAAACTTATTTGAACGAATAATGCACCACAGGGCAATTCGAGGAGTATAATTTCATTTACCCTAAAAACAAACAAATTTTTACTATTGTCTATTGGGAGTGACTACTGCACTGTCCAGACAGTGCCGACTGAAAACTATCTGCACTAACCAGACAGTGCCGATTAAAATCTATCAGCACTGTCTAGACAGTGACGACTGAAATCTATCTGCACCAAGATCTGCACTGTCCAGACAGTGCCGACTAAAAACCATCTGCTAGATAATTCCATTATTATATCGTATAAAGTTATAGTTATATTCAAAATAGCTTGCATTCCTTGCTGTAATTCAGCGTATTAATAGTTATTTTTGTATAAAGTATTAAGTGCACAAAATGGTACCTGATGAGAGTGTCAATTTTCACAGTTCAGGTCGAGGCCAAAAATTCATTCGAAGGTGACCATAAACACAAATATCGCATACGAAATACAAAACAACATTTTTCCTACGAGTGTGCGCAAAGTAGTACTTTTCACGGACTGCGGGAGTGTAACTATGAGCACGGAAATGCGTGCGGAAAAGTACTACTTTGCGTATGCTCGTAGGAAAAATATTGTTTGTATTTTGTATGCGTCTTTTGTGTTATGGGCACCTTCGAATAAATTTTTGGCTTCGAGCGAGGGGCAAACCACCTAGTAAATATGTGTACACCAACTGCCAAATAATGGCGTTTACTGCCATTGCCTCCTATAGTTAACAAGCCATGAAGTTGGAAATGACGGCAACGTCGCGTATGGTGCTATTTTGTTATTGGGTTATGTGTTTCTGTGTATTGTTGCAATTTAGTATTTTTATGGGCATTATTGACGAAAAAGTGGATAGAAACACACCAATATATTGCCCATATTTAGTTGATACCTGTTCCTTTGTGCTTTGATTGCTAATTTTTAGCAAATGAGTACAGGAGCAAAAATGAAGGTAAGGTAAGGTAAAACAATAAAAACAATATCAATATTTGTCTGCAAGAGCATAGGTCTCGATATATTACCTAAGATATTTAAACTTGTTCCAGATGCCATGAAACTACTGTGTTCCTGGGTGCAAATCGAACTATTAGGAGTTCCTTAAAAACTGAAGAAATGCAAACATTTTTATTTCCAAAAAAATTCTGAAGTGCAAAAAATGTGGATGAAAGGAATACACCAAGATAATTATACCCGAGATTATACAATAACGAAAAATTCTGTGGTGTGTTGTAAGCATTTTGAAGAAACCGAAATAATTTAGATTTGAAACAAACAAGGATAAAGGCGTAGTTCGAGACTTCAAACTAAAACGTCCAACTCTTAAAAGTAGGTACCAGGTACCTCTTATTTTCGAAAATCAGCTCAAGTATTTGAATGGACTTGCCTTCCGAAAAAATCCCGAAGAAAGAAAAAGTTAGATTTTCAAAAGACATACTGAAACATAACACTTTAGACTCTAGAAATATATTAATTTAAATCAATTATTTACTGTTCTTATTTACACAAATAGTTAAATTATTCATTGAATTACTGTTTTTGGCCCTTTAGTACAATAAATTATGCATTTTTTGTGATTCATATTAATAAAATAAAAAATATATATTTATACAAACAAACACCACCAGCACCACTTGGCGGTAAGATTGCGGTGTTGCCTTTATAACTTCATGGCTTGTTAAATGTAGGAGGCTGTGTTACTGCTCATGGTGTCGGTTACTGCCGAATAATGCCATTTACTGCTTGTAATGCCATTTGTTTCTGAATAATGCCATTTACTGCTGATAATGCTTAAAAATGCCATTACTGCCTGTAATGCTTCTTATCGTTTAAATATAGACGACGATTTTTCGGAAAAAATACCGCCAACAGATGTCGCTATAAATGAGAAATACTGCTAGATACTGTCAAATATTGCTAGTTACTGCCCAATAATGCTTGTTACTGCTGAATAATGCTTATTACTGCCGAATACTACTCCTTACTACCAAATAATGCCAGTACTGCCACCTGTTTGTACACCAACTGCCACTGGTGGTTGACCCCTCGGCTTCGAATTGACATGTGAAAATTGACACTTAGGGCCATATTGTCCGTAGTTCATAAAGCCTGGCTTAGTGGAAACGCTTGGCTTTTTGTGTGACAAAGCCGAGCTTTTCTACTAAGGGCGGGTATTATAAAACTGCTTTGACAGTTAACTTCAAGTTAACTTTTTGAATTACATGTAATTTCAGAAGTTAACTCTCAAAGTAGTTTTATAATACCCGCCCTAAGCCAGGCTTTATGACCTACGGCGAATATGGCCCTTAAAGTATTATCATTGAAAAAACACTAGTTTTGCGAACCTAATACAAAAATAACTATTAATACACTGAATTCCAAGGAATCCAAGCCATTTTGAATATAACTATAACCTTATATGATATGATAAAATAATTAAATTATCTGGACAGTGCAGATAGATTTCAGTCGGCACTGTCTAGAGTGTCTAGACAGTGCTGAAAGATTTTAGTCGGCACTGTCTGGTCAGTGCAGATAGTTTTCAGTCATCACTGTCTGGACAGTGCAGGCACCTCGGGAGCGCCACGCACTAGATTTGTCTGTTCCTGTATCATGGCGTGAGACGCCTGTCTTAGTGTCAAATATTTCAAAATTTAAAAATAATTATCTATTTGTTGGTGCGGTTTGTTTTTTATTTATCAAAAATTATAGATGAAAATCGAAACTATATTTTGGAAATGTTCGATCCCGACATATAACACGAAAAAAATAAATAAATAGCCACTAACGGATGTGACAACTGACAGGTTGACGGGTACATACAGCTCGGGAGCTCAACGCCCCGAGTGGCGCCGAACGTCACACTCCCATACTAGTTGTATTCCTTTGACACATAGGAGGAGCTCCGGAACAGCTCCGGGGCTTTACGCGCTTATTCCTTTCAAAAAGTGTTTGTTGCACCTGAGCGCTCAAGCCCGAATCAAACGATTTAAATGCATGATAACCAGCGCATTTGTTCCTTTCAAATAGGGGTCGACTAGCACCGGAGCGAGTAGCCCTAGTGTTTTAAACTCTTGAAAGGAATACAACTATTGGAAAGCGGCTCCTGACTGCTGACAGGTACTCTTTGCCCCAGGGGCGCAATCACGATTCGACAACCCGGGTTATTTCTTCCTAGGTAAATCTTACTCGGGTAGTTAGAGTGATTCCAAGGTAAGCGTGTCCAGTTACAATGTTTACCCTGGAGTTATGCTTAACCGGGGGTGACTCGCTATTGAGAAACCGGCCCTTAACTGGGTTAAGAAACGTCCCAACCAAAAGGTGCTTTCCAGTGACCCGTTTGAGTTACTCCTGAGCAGCTCAGGAGTGCTCCATAATTACTTTGCGCGTTCCAGTGCTTAGAGTGTCGTACACTTGAACTACTCATTTCTGTTATCCCCTGCCCCCTCGTGCACCAACCATTTCGGTGTTTCATGCTCCTGAAGTCCGAAATGGTGGGGGTTAAGACGAGAGCGTTCCAGTGCTGCTTATGTCGAACAGTTCAAGAGCGTCACACTCCAGGAGCATGATACTCTAACAATTTAGGCACTGGAAAGCAGCTCAAGGTGGATTGTGACATTTGGTATATCCATATGTTTTATGATTTGATTTTGCATCGCGTACATTCGTTGTTTATTTCTTCATTTTCTTTGTGAATTGGATTTGTATTGATCATAGATCCAGCTACCTTTATTAAAAACGTTGTGATGGTGTCAGAATTTTAAAAAAAAACTGCATGAAACTATCTCGCATGTCGAGCAAATTTTACCTAGCCGATTATAAACGCTGGTGTAATTTTACCGGGTTGAAGCATCCGATTCGTGAACCACATCCGGACGCTGGACCGAGCCCGGGCGTCTATCGTGAATGCAGCCCAGGGCTGCCTTAGGGCTCACGCTCGGTGCACTAGAGCTTGCACTTTCGTCACTCAGGGCTGGGATCACGACAAGTAGAATTCTACTTTCATGACGTCGCGATCAATTTATCGCGAACGTACAGGCGATGATGACGGTTGCTAGGCAGCCTGGGCTGGAACTCTGTAACGGATAGAGATCGTTATCCCTATCGCTATGGCAGTCGCTGTCTTCTTCTCTCTTATCGAAATCAATAGAGAGGGGACGCCACTAGAGATAGAGATATTGATCGCTATCCGTTACAGAGTTCCAGCACTGGGCTGGGACTGTGTAACGAATAGAGATATTTTGTCCATCTCGGGTAACGATCTATGTCCGTTACAGAGTTCCAGCCCTGACGTCATGAAAGTAGAATTTTAGTAGAATTCGACTTATGATTCTTGACCTCCCTTATTTTCGAAGCTCCGACAAAGGCTCTAGTGTGTTTAGTTTAACATATTTTGAGCGTTCCGAGCGAGCCCGATATACTCCGACTTTGTGGAGTGTGAAGTGGGAGCGTGCATGCGCATCAGATTAGCTATTTTATTTAAAATTCAAATGTTAACGAGCAAATAGTAAATTCTGCATAATTGTTTTTTTATTGAATTTTCGCCGTCGTGGCTAAAATAAACTTGAAAAACTTTGATGGAAATAGGAAATACGGGCTCGGACTCCCAGAAACATAACCTAAAAAAAAAAAATATGGCTGGCAGTACTGATTTCTGCTGTATTCCCTCCCCGCCAAAATACCAGTTGTGACGTAGGCTGCATGTTATTTCTTGCCTTGACGTAGGCTGTTTAAGTTTAAACAGCTAACGACTTAGTTATGACTCGGAAATGGTATCACACCAATATGGCGGCGATTATCAAAAACGAGGCCGAGAAGCAAGGAGGGCTGGAACTCTGTAACGGATAGAGATCGTTATCCCTATCGCTATGGCACTTGCTCTCTTCTTTTCTCTTCTCGAAATCAATAGAGAGGGGACGTCAATAAAGATAGAGAAAATATCTCTATTCGTTACAGAGTCCCAGCCGAGGATACACACTCTAAGGGGTGCTTGTCGGCCTCGTTTTTGGTAATCGCCGACATATTGGTGTGACACCATTGCCGACGTCATAACTAAGTCGTCAGCTGTTTACATAGCCTACGTCAAGGCGAGAAATAACATGCTGCCTACGTCACAATTGGTATTTTGGTG